GAGGGTGTCTAGCCGGGGGAGGGGCAGCAGCGCAGGTAGCTTCTGTCTGGATGGCTGAGAAGCCCAGGGAGGCCACCGAGCACCCTGACTGCTCCCCTGTGTGCGCTGCATTTGCTGCTTCCCTTCTGTTCTTGCCAAGATGGAACCAATATCTCAGGAGCTGTGAATCCAGCCCAGCTGCTCCTGATTTCAGCCAGGAGCCAGGCAGCCGTGTGCCTGGGCTGAGCCTTTTCTTGTGCTCTGTGAGCCTACAGTCCTCCCACCTTGGAGAGCAAAGGGGAGGGGGAGAGGAGTGAACAAAGCACGTGGCCTGCATTGCTCGTTCCTGGGTAGAGGGGAGGCAGGAGACAGTGTCCTGCTAGGGACTTGCACCCCCTAACTCCCTAAATGGCGCCCTTGCTGCCAAGCTGCCGAAGGGGTTTTGCAGCCTTATGGTGCCTGCTAACTGCATGGTGAGGGTGGGAGGGGACTTGCTGCTGTATCTGACATTGGTTCCCCTCAGGAGCTGCTTTCTGCCACTGAACGCAGCCCTCAGCTGAGAAGTCAGGACACAGCCACGTTCTGGCCTATCTGTACAGGGATTCCCGCTTTTACAGCAGCATTCCTTGCCATTACCTTAGCACTGCACATCTGCAGCTTGACCGTGATGGGCTGGCCAGACTCCTGCCTTCTAGCACATGGGTGGGAGGGCCACTAACCCACAGAAAAATCAGCCACGGCCACACACAAGTGAGAGGCTGTGGCTCCCAAAAAACCCAAACAAAGCCATAAAACAAAACAAAAACTGACTGACCTGGCTTCCTACAAGTTCAGAGTGTTCCCCGGCCATGGGGCAAGCTGACTCTTGCACTCCAGCCCCACAGCAGGGCAAGGGCACTGAGGCTCAGAGACTTTCCGTGGGGCTGGACCCATAGGTTCCCCAACCCTGTCTAGTACCAGGCATTACATGAGCCTGTCAGTATCCAACAGGGGCTGAGGGTATGTCTACACTACCCCGCTAGTTCGAACTAGCGGGGTAATGTATGCATACCGCACTTGCTAATGAAGCCCGGGATTTGAATTTCCCGGGCTTCATTAGCATAAGCG